TGCCTCATATAGGTCACACCCAGCCATAGGGTTCATCACTGCCACCAAAGCTCCACACTAGTTTCATGGGCCTTGCTGAATCAGTTACTTTCTTAAGTCTCTGGCAAAAACAGTCCTGTTGTGGTCTGTGAACTGGGCATCAAACACAGCTTCCCTTATACCCAGTTCTCTCAGTAGTGCCTATCCTTCCTCTATGCTTTCCATTCTATGATGCTTTCAGCTGGGGATAACCAGGTGTCCCTAATGGCTCATATGAGCCAATCTGTCATGGACTGATTTCCTTCATATTGCCTTACATTGGGAAGTCTTTGTCTCAAGGAAGGATGAGTGTTTATGTTGCTCAGCTTCTCTGCTTCTATAGCACTTAAAATAATTCCATCTTCCCCCATGTCCTTCATTGCTTGTTTGAGCACCTTCCCTGGTTCCAACAACTCTAGTGCTGAGTATTCTCTGATTACCGTACAGAAAGTAAGTCCCTATAATTGAGATAGGATATGCTTCATACACAGGACTTGGAGCAATGGATCAGGAACTACCTGAAAGCCTTCTCTCTGAAGACTGGCTCTCATAGATCTAGAGGATACTGTGGAAACTGCTGGGGGAGAAAATCAATCAATGGCCCAAACCATCTCTAATGCCCAATAACCACAGTGACTGGCAAAGTAAACTTTACTGGTGTCACTTTTATCTAGGTGATAATCAACAGCTATTTGGATTTAAAGCCTTCTTAGTGGTAGGGAAACCATGGGTGGCACTGTATATATAGCTAAATACATATGACTGGAGAGGTCATAGATCCTAGAGAAAATGCTCTTTGTCATATTTCTTGACAAATGAAATTTCTTACTGCTTACAAAATATGGAACTTTATATTTGCAGACAAGTATACCATATGTCCTAGTTTGTTTCGTCGTTGCTGTGACAAAACACTCTGACCAATACCAATTTGGGGAGGAAAGGGTTTATTTGGCTTATATCTCCCAGGTCACAGTTCATCAGGGAGCCCAAAGTAGAAACTCAGGGCAGGAACCTGGAGGTAGGAGCTGAAACACAGACCATGGAGGAACGCTGCTTACTGACTTGCTCCCCTGCCCCCTGCTCAGCCTGCTTTCTTATTCAACATTGGCCCACCTGCCCAGGGGTGGCACCACCCACTGTGGACTGGGCCCTCCCACATCACTCAACAATCAAGAAGATTCCCAAGAAGATGGACATGGCCACAGGCCAGTCCAATAAAGGAAATTCCCCAATTGAGGCTCCCTCAACCTAGGTGTGCCAAGTTAGACACTAAAGCTATCCAGCACACCATACATTACTCACCAAAGAAGATTCATTTTGCAATATATGCAGGTTATTACAGAGTTCCACAACAGGTCACACACAGCGAATATATATCTGACAGATGCCCAGCCATAAATGACACATCCACAGTTGAACTGACTGCTGAAAGATGAAATTTCAAAGTAGCTTTATTTTATTTCTCCAACGACTAAGGGTGTTAAACATTTTTTAAAATGTTTCTCAGTAAATTTTATTTTCATCTTTTGAGTGTTATATGTTATATTCTATGAACCATATTTAGTTTTTTTAGTCCTTTGTACATTCTAGAAGTGAACCCTGTTTCAGATATATAATTGGCAATAATTTTTTCACATCTGTAGGCTGGTGTCATTTGCTATACAGAAGTGTTTTGGTTTTATGATGTACCATTTTTATATTATATTGTAAAAAAGAGCAGGAAGGGAAAAAGTCTGAACATGTTTAATGTAGAAAATTTATAATGTTAAAACTTGAAGTCATTTGAGCCCAGGACTTTGAAAGAACAAGGAGATTACACAAACTGTCCCCAAGTTATTATAAACTGTCATACCCACTAACAGGACTTGGTGGAGTATTGTTAACCCCTGTTTCAAGATGTGGCCCTAGAACATACAAACCCCAACCATAAATCAATTCCCATACACAAACAAATCCTTCCATGCATGCAGTCCCTAAGCTTTAAAAAAAATTCCTACAATAGTTTACCGTGATATGTGAACATACTTAACATCCCCTGCAGCTTGGCCAGTGTGGTCTCTGTGTGGATTCCCTCCTGCCAGCTGCCATTCCTCACTGACTAATGCTAAAGTCAATTTGGATTGTTGAGGTTGTTTGCTTTCTCTACTATCTTTGACTTTTATTCCTACCATTTTGATGCCCCAAACAAGGATCAAACCACCAAGCCCCCTTTCTATAACCACTCCCTTCACAGCATTTGCACAGTCCACAGTCTTCCTCGAAGCCAGAACCATCCATTTCATTCACCCAATTCATATGATAAATATGTTTGTGAAAGGCTTTCTTCATGAACAGTCAGTGAGCATGAAAGAAGTTGACATTGAGAGTCAAATTAGAAGAGAATATGAATGTATATGCTGATAGGGGCTCTGAGATTTCTACCATCACCTTGGAGACATGCAGGGAACTTATTACTACATTGTCCTTCTTGGCTGATGAGAAAGAAAAGTCAAAAACACAGAAAGTTTGAGCAAGTCTGACAGTGTCAATATTTGAACTGTCTCTGTTCATAAGAAACACCTTAAAACCACTGGTATTATGTCATCTGCAGCTGACATGGTAAGGTAAGGGGATTAAGGCAGGCCTGACAGAGAGTTATGAGGGATGAAGACAAACAAATTTCAACTTTGCCAAAAGACACGTATCTGCCAAAGTATTTAAACTCCAAGCTCTCTACCAGTTTGCATTTTTGTAATGGAATACAAAAAGCCAGATGTTTTGTATTTAAAACATTTACTCTTCTTGTAGTTTGGGGGCCTGGAAGTTGGGAAGTAGGATCAATTTTGTCATTTCTAACATACAAACAGAGGACAGAGACAACTATATGTATCTTTTTATTGGAATATTACATCATCTCAAGGTGCTCACTGGCATGGCATAGCCTAACTTGAATCAATGTATAAGATATATATACTCTTTCTTATGGCCTCTTATTAGGCTTGAGATTTCAATTGTAGATTTTGAAGAATCAAAAACTTTCAGATTATTCAACACCAAAAGAAATGTAATGAGAACTACATCAAAATGCCTCACAGCTCATATGCAGTGAAAAAACAGGCTGGTGAACTGATTGGAACAGATTTAATGCATAGGGGAAGCAGCGTAAACAAAACAGAAAATAATAGAAACACATGAATGACACAGAAGCTGATCCCCATTTTAAGTAGGTTGAAAATTGTCTATGGGGATTTCATTTTGATAATTTATTTTGAAGGAGTACAAAGGATATAAATATATGGAAATATTAATTACAGGATTTTCAGCTGCCTACATATATATGAGTGACAAAATGCAATTTTGCAGCAAGTAACAAAATAATGATAAAATAAATAGACATAACAAGAAGGGAAAAAGAAATGTGGAGCTGGAAATCATGGCGGATACAATATATTTTGCTTTTTGTCTTGAGATGTGGAGTTTGATTTTAGGTCAACATTAACAACATGCCAGTTTGATAGGATCATAAATGTATGTAGAGAAACTACTGACCTGCTGTGCTTATGAGATTGGCTCCATGACCAAGGTTCAAGATGTTCAGGATACTCAAGTCTCTTGGGTGAAATGGAAATGAGGTGTAGCTAAGGAATGCATGCCTTTCCACATACTAACTCATTTCTGGATTTCTGCTAGAGTTCTCTACATGATAGCAGAGATACTGAACATTTTTAGTCCGGATGATGCAAAGAATGCTGACAAATGTAGAAGCAACACATCCCATAATAATAACCAACCACATCAGAGTCATGGTTACGTGGAACAAAAGACAGCTTGATGAATATTTGACCTAATGATTTGAAATGATAATTTCAACAATGTTGTCCAAAACACATGCTGTATCATTTCAAATTGAAAACCTCCTGCATCTTGGATGAAGTCCTAAACAAAAGTCAGAGCTGCAAGGATCCGAGTGTGGGGTATGAGGTCACCCAGTAGGAGCTTAAAGGTGCCTTTGTTCTGTCTCTCTTTTTAAAGATACAGATCTGCTTCGCTCAGTACAGACTTGGGAGCAACTAAGAGCCTCCTCCAAGATGCTGGTGGTCCTGCTCTCTGCAGCCCTGGTGACGCTGAGCACAGCATGGAGTTCAAACAAAGCTATGAAATGGGGGAGGACGCTGCATGCTGACTTCTGTGGCTTAGGGAACCCACCAAGCCATCCTTCTGGCCTAACTCCTCTTTCATTAGTTACGAAAATTCAGTATTTAGTGTTCTAATATTTAAATCAGCATTTATTCCTATTTCCATCAATGATAAGCCCAAGGATATGAAATGCAAGAAAAGGAACACAGGAAGTAAAAGCATAAACCAATATAAACATATGACAATGACACTGAAATACCCAGACAGTCCAATGAATATTGTAAGTAAGGTTTTGAATCAATTCTAAGGAGGGATAAAAATGGCATGTGAACTGGGCAGCATAGCCCCAAGCTAACTGCTTTTTCAGCAGTATAACCTAAGGAGAGGATTTGAGTTCTGAGATGTGTGAATTTGGGTTAAAATCATTTTCCTATAGTGCACTTGTGTAACGTGAAAATAACATGGCTGATGGTTACAAAAATTCAGTATTTAGTGTTCTAATATTTAAATCAGCATTTATTCCTATTTCCATCAATGATAAGCCCAAGGATATGAAATGCAAGAAAAGGAACACAGGAAGTAAAAGCATAAACCAATATAAACATATGACAATGACACTGAAATACCCAGACGGTCCAATGAATATTGTAAGTAAGGTTTTGAATCAATTCTAAGGAGGGATAAAAATGGCATGTGAACTGGGCAGCATAGCCCCAAGCTAACTGCTTTTTCAGCAGTATAACCTAAGGAGAGGATTTGAGTTCTGAGATGTGTGAATTTGGGTTAAAGTCATTTTCCTATAGTGCACTTGTGTAACGTGAAAATAACATGGCTGATGTTCTTCTTCTCCTGTGCTTACTTCTAAGATGTCATCAGTGAAGACTCTTCAGTCCAGCTCTTAGGTAAGTATAAATTCATCTTTTGTGAACCTGCTGTGTTTCTTACTTCTGAAATTACTCAGTTCTGTGAGATGTAATAAGTATTTTTTAAATCAAAGTATTAGTGAGAGGCAGATTCTCTAGAGATATAGAGCAATGTTCCCTTACATTAATTCTGGGGTCCTGAGCCGAACAACGCTCTAGGTTTGAGGAGCTGGACTGTTGTGAAAGCAGCAGACAGAAGCACCTGCTGAAAAGATGGGTACACTGGAAGTGTCCTCATTTAGACTCCTCAAGGGCAGTTTAAGTTGCTCAAAAAATTCATTCTTCCCAGTCGTTCTCTGTTGACTTACATGGCATTATGGGAAACACATAGAAATGTCTGTACCACCTCTTTATATGAGTTCTGCATCCATGGCTGATGAATAATTACAAAAATATTCCCCTAATCCTGAGTGGAGCATCTGTTTATTTCTTTTTATAATCCTTGCTTATTCTCTAAGTGGTTCTAAGTCTCTTAACGCCATGGTATTTTGTCAGTATAGAGCTTTGTTGTCATGACTTGGATTCACAACTAAGTTCAAAAAAGTACTAGTAAAAATACCTTCCCTTTTCTCCACTTATGTCTTGGCAAATGTCCACTTATTTTAATATACACAAAACTACCAATTGTGCACCAAGTCTAAGGACAGATATTTGTCCCAAGAGCTGGTACATAAGAATGATGATATGATGCATATATAAATGTTAATAAGGTATTTTCATGAAGAATCCTGGGAATGGAGGGCTTTGGAAGTTGAGAGAGAGGATTAATGAAAAGGAGAATGTGTAAGCTCATTTGCTCTGATCTATACCCAAACAGGGGCAGAGAAACCCAACCAGGGTCCTGGTCCAAACCTCTGCTCCCACTTCCTGTAGGACAGCCCCCAAAGCCAACTCCTCCTGAGGAAGGTGGTGATGAGAACAGTGGTGAAGAGCAAAATTCACAGGAGGAATCAGCTCAGGAAAAGGGCTGTGAACCTGGGAACCAGCAGGGCCCCTCTCCACAGGGAGGCCAGCAGGGCCCTCCTAAGCCTGGTAAACAGCAAGGCCCACCCCCACAGGGAGGCCAGCAGGGCCCTCCTAAGCCTGGTAAACAGCAAGGCCCACCCCCACAGGGAGGTCAGCAACAGAAATGCCCTCCTCAGCCTGGTAACCAACAAAGCCCATCCCAACAAGTAGACCAGGAACAACCAAGTTACCTGAAGACATTGTTTGCATAACCAACAGGTTCCACAACATTGAAAAGGTAATTTCAAATTCCTCTGCCTGTTTCATCCCAGAGAGACCTTAAGAATAAAAACAACCTTCTATCTGAGCATACATGTATCCAAAATTTGAATTGCCTTTATATTTTCAAATTCTGGAACTGATTTTGGTTTAAATACATTCTTTGTCAAATGCCTTAACTCTACCATTATTGATATTCAAGATTACTGTAAGAAATCATTTCAGAATATGTTGAAATTAAGTCATACCTTCCTTCTCTCTAACCTTTTTTGTTTGTTTTTTTTCAGAAAGTAAGAAGCTAGTCATGTCATTGGAACATGTTGTCATGGCTGTACCTTCATTATTCCAAAAAAATAATTAGCATGCAGTTACCATGTAATGTTTCTCTTTCTGTGTCTGGTGAGACTGTAATTTGAGAGCTATGGACACATAAAGAAATCAAAACCCCTACATAGAGCTGCTTTGAGAAGATGTTTTCTGCCTTTATGTGTCAACCAACTCTCATGTGAGAACACTCCATTGTTCACAGACTTAAGTTCTCTGTAGAGATTTGGTGACCATTACCAGTTAATAGGATTCCAAGACTTATGTTAATAAGGGAGGCTGCACTGAGATAGGGTTTCAATATCAAATTACATAAACAGTGGTACTCTTGAATGTCATGTACCATTGGTTGACCAGCATTCCAAGCAATACCTATCTAGGTATACATGGAAAAAATGCTTCGTTTCTTACAGACAGCACTCACCTGCCCAGTTGACACTTTCCTCTGAAGAAGCTGGCTTTCTGGAGCTAGTACTCATCTGGACATTGTAGTCCCAGCCAGCTCACATTTATACTTCGATTTGGCCAGTCATTCAAATGGAAGAGTGTCTCAGGGACATGGTGTTCATTGTTTAGCGCCCCTGTTTGTGACAAGCCTCATGTACCTGGAACTTATAGGCAACTGCTATTTGAAAGTATCTTAAGCAACTTTAGGACAGTCTTACAATCTTAAAGAAGGCAAATAGAAAACATGTCGATGTTCTAGGGGGTGAGTAATTCTTAAGATTTCCCAAATAACTGGTTTTATATTCCTAGGAATGAATGTGCTGTTCTCCCTAGAAACAACTTCTCTAATTTTTAGTCTTTAATTGTTCTCAGTTCTTTCCCTCTTTCCATTCCCACCCTTCCTGACTAGTAGTGGATTCTCAGAAGAAAGGGATAGCAGTTATTCAGATATCCATCTTCCTTTTTTCTTTTATTTTTGGACTGCTGACAATTTTATCAGTGAGAAGTACAACAATACCATGCTGGAATATATTAAGATTTATGTGAAAATTCAAGGACACACATTAATCACGTACATATACAATATAAATGAAACATTTCTGTGAGTTCAAGGCCAGCCTGGTCTACATAGTGAGTTCCAGGACAGCTGGGGCGACAGGGAGACCTTGTCTCAAAAAGACAAATAAATAAATAAATAAACAAATAAATAAATAAATAAACAAATAAATGAAACATTTCTAGTTTTTTTCTGCAATGTCGACATGTCAAATTATTTTGGATGATCAGAAAGAAACACTGCTTTCCAGAGAGCCTGTCCCGCTAAGGGACTCAGCAAAGCCATTAAAGCACCATACCAATCTCAAGGTCCCTGTTGAATCAAGTTCTTCTTTGAATCTCTGGTGAACACAGTCCTGTCTGGTCTACTATATATTTATTTCCTCATACCTAGTTTTCTCAGTAGTGCCTGTCCCTCTTCTGTTGTCCTCTAGGATCTGATATCCATGGGAACCTCCCATGGTGATGACCAAGTATCTCTAATGGCTCATATGCACCAGTCCATCTGGGACTAATTCTCTCCATGTACTACCTCAAGTTCTGCAGCCTATGTCTAAAGGCAGGATGGGTGGTTATATTGCTCAGCTTTAATGCTTCTGTAGTACTTAAACTAACATCATTTGTTCCCATGTCACATATCCTCACAAGCCAGATGGTGAGGTGCTCCTAGACTGCTTCTTTGAAAGTCTTCCCTAGTTCCAATAGCTGCAGTGCAGAGTATTTTCTGATTGCTACAGTCTCTTACCCCGCCCCCATTGTTAAGACCTCCGTCAGCATGCTGGAACATGGATTTTTCCTTTCTTTGTATTAAAGGTCAAACCTGAGGGGCATCTTCTAGATCGCTCCCTTCCTCACCACTCTCTGCCCTCTCACACATGTTCCAGGTTTTGGGGTCCCAGGATGAGTCTTGTCTCATTGATCTGATTTGGACTCTTTTCCCTTTCTGACCCTCTCTAGTCATAAAAAAACAGCAAGCTAACATCTCAATTTCTTTTTCTCTTTTATGCAATTTACAGGCAAAGTCAGGAGCCAATACTGAAGAGGTCAGTATTTCTCACTGAAATTCCTCTCTTACACATTTAGTCTCCCTTCAGGCTACTGCCTGGGATTAGATCTTTTATCTGGCAAAGCAGCACCCAGGCCATCTGGTGAGCTACTCCAAGGACTTGCAATGTTTGCACTAGGCCTTTCATGGTTCTTAAAGCATCTTCATACTCACATGGCAGACCGAACCTCTCAAGCAGGTACAGCATTCCATACCACCTACAAGAGGACTGCAATCCCAGGATATCCCCCACTGATCTCACCTAGGTAGTGTCACCTTAGTTACACATCTCATTATCCTCTGTATCATCCATGCCACCACTGTTACCCCCACTGGACCTATGGGGCTAGCCCACCATGTCAAAATTTCCTCCGCCCACACTCTCTCCGGATGCAACTTTGCTTCGGTCGTTGGTTTCCTTCCCCACACCAGAGGCACCATTGCTCTTCTCAAACTCATCCTTGGTTTTGCTGTATCCTACAGGTTATGCCAATTGCTGCTAACACTCCTCCTGGGAGACACGAGCAATATCTGGCCCCCTCTTCTCAATGTCCTTACAAAAATCTTAGGTCTAAGTTTTCCAAACTACTGTATGTGAAACTAAAGAGTTTATCGGGGTTACTGATGGAGCAATGGATGAGGGTTTACTTACAGGAGTGTGGGTGCTGCCCCCCGCCCCAGACTGCGATGGAAAATCTCCATCGGGCATGGATGTGACCTCACAGCTTCGTGAAATGGTGAGAGAGCATCTCCCTATAGGCTTCCTCCACTTAAGCACCCTTTGCGTCTCCCCCTTGTGCTGTGCAGGCTGACTGGTTGGTTGGGAGGTGTGGCCAACTCTCCTGGTCCCCTCTTTTCTTGCTGGGCATCAACAGTCAGGTTTGTATGTGATGATCCTAAACAAGGTGGTGCAACAAAGCTTTGGAAGAAGGGAGTTGATGTCCGTAGTCTGTTTTTTGGAGGTTAGTAGCATAGACTACTATGCCACAGATCATGTATATATATGTAAAGTTTTTTTCATGAAGAATGGGGAGAATGGAGAAGTTGGCAGTTGAGAGGGAGGTTCGAGGAGAGGGGAATGTGCAAGCTTATCTACTCTGATCTGGATCCAAACAGGGGCAGAGCAACAAAACCAGGGGCATGGTCACCACTCTCCACAAGCCCCTCCTGGAGGATGGCCCCCCAAACCCCTCCTCCTGAGGAAGGTGGTAATGATAACAGTGGTGAAGAAGCAAATTTACAAGAGCAACCAGCACAGCAAGAAGGCAGTGAGCAGACCCCTCAGCCTAAAAACCAGCAAGACCACCCCCACAGGGAGGTCAGCAGCAGCAGAACTACATTCCAAGTCCTGGAAAACAGCAAAGTCCACTTCCACATAGAGGCCAACAGGGCCCTCCTAAGCCTGGAAACCAGCAAGTCCTACTCCCACAGGGAGGTTAGCAACCAAAGGGTCTCCCCATCCTGGAAAGGAGAAAGGTCCACCCCCACAGGGAGGCCAGCAGGTTCCTCTTCAGCTTGGAAACCAACAAGGCTGGCCCTAGTCTGGTGTAATTAGAATGATCTGATATAACTACGGTTATTGACTTTGCCCCTGACATGATATAATTGTGGTTTTAAGCTTTATAAACCCAACTCTGGGTGCTGGTGAGACAACTCAGTGCTTAAGAGCATGGGCTCCTCTTGCAGAGGACCTAGGTACCATTCTCAGTACCCACAGGGCAGCTACTAACCATCTGTAACTCCAGTTCCAGGAGATTCAACACCCTTCTCTGACTTCTGAAGGCATTACACATTGCAGGTGTACATACATGCAGGCAATATGCGCATACACATAAAATGAAAAAATTTTTAAAAACGAAATAAAAATAAATAAACCTCATTCTGCCTCCCATCAAGGATGAGAGTTCCTTTGGCCTTAGCCCTCTCTGACCATTGGCTAGTAAAGAACTCTTGATTCAACTCGAAACGTCATGACATTTCTCACTCTGTATTACAAATATACCACATTTTCCGTTATCAGTTCATCACTCAGCAGACATCTAGATTACTACTACTCCTAGCTTTTTGTAGGGCCCGGCCAGAATTGTATGAGCTGTTCCTAAACCCTTGGGGCAGGACTGTCAATGGGAATTTTGGGAAGTTTAGGGTGCTGTGGACCCCAGGGTGCATGGGAATAGGAAAAACAAACAAACAAACAAAAATTGAAACTACAAGAGGGTTCCCTGTGAAGTCATTTAGAGTGACTGTCGTGAAACAAGCAGAGAACCACAGATGGTGTCAATCGGGAATGGCAGGAATGGAAGGAAGGCAAGAACTGAGCTTGATCAAAGACTAGAATTTAGAGGAGGGGCCTCTAGGGAAAATAGCACCCTCCGTTCTAGGAATCTAGGACCCATTATATGGAAAATCTTAAGGACTCCTCCACTCCTGGAATATTTACACATTTCATGTTTCCTTCTTTTAAAAAAGTTTAACTGAGTGTTTTCACATCCTGCACAACAGCTCTCAATCACATTCAGACCCCCTCCTCCATCCACACCACCCCCTATTCTTCCCATCAGACTCCATGCACTCCATTACATATGCCAAGTCCCATCCAGTCAAACATCTGTACCCAGATGTCCTTTGGTGCAAATTCATCCACCAGAGCCTAGTCAACCTATCCAGACATTGTAAGTAAGGCCTACTCTCCCTCACCCATTAACAATCAGTCTCCAACAGTTCTCAGACTAGAGCAGGCCCATCGCCCTATTCCCTCTCTCCACCCTGGGCCCCTGCCTCACCTAACTGGCATGAATCCTATGCTCGATGCCACCACTGCCACAAGTTCACATGTGCAAGCTTCCATTGACCTAAAAGCCTCTGCTTCTCTATATTCATGAACCAATAGAAGCTCTTACAATCTTACCCTCCCCCGCTTCCACAATGTTCCCTGAGTTGTGGGTGGGTGAAGTTTAATATAGGAGTCCTATCAGGGAATACACACTCTGTAATTTCTTATTCTGTAAAACTTGACCAATTGTGACCTTCCATGTGCATGACGCTCTAATGTACAAGGAAGCTTTACAAATGAGAGTTGAGGGATGCACTAGCTCTCTCTCCACACCATCCCCATGCCACTATGTTCCATAAGCCTCAGATGTAAAGGTTCAACTGTAGTTATATCACTGAGGATTGGGCATCTCTCAGATGAATATTCTGTGTCTGACCAGTTATAGGATTCTGTAGTAGCCGCTATCTTTTGCAAAATGAAGCTTCTTTGATGAGTGGTGTATGGTATACTTGTCTATAAATTAAAGGATTCATATTTAGCATAGAGCAGTAAGAGAAGTACTAATTAGAGTACTGATTGGAAAAGTTAAATTATCACTATTTGTAAACAATATAATATTATACATAAGAGATCCCAAAATTTCTACCAGGAAACTGTTAGAAATGGTTAAGACTTGCAGCAAAGTGGAAGGTTACAAAATCAACTTACAAAAATCAGTAGCCTTTCTATATACCAATAACAAACAATCAGAAAAAGCATTCAAGGAAATCCTCCCATTCACAATAACCTCAACAAAATATTTAGGAATAAACCTAACCAAAGACATTAAAGACGTATACAATGAAAACTTTAAATCTTTAAAGAAAGCTAAGAGAGGAAGACACGGGGAGATGGAAAGACCTCTCATGCTCATGGATTGGTAGAATTAATATTGTGAAAATGACCATCCTACCAAAAGCAACCTATGGATTCAATGCAATGCCAATCAAAATACCCACAACATTCTTCACAGAGCTAGAAAAAATTATCTTAAAATGCACATGGAATCACAAAAGATCCTGGATAGCCAAAGCAAAAATTTGGGCAAAAACTGAACTCTCACCTTTCACTCAGCACAAAAGTCAACTCCATATGGATCAAAGACCTCAGCATACAACCTGAAACTCTGAAAGTGCTATAATAAAAATAAGCAGTACCCTCCAAGATATAAGTATAGGAAAGGTTTTTCTAAATCGAACACCGTGTGCTCAGGTGTTCAGGTCAGCAATCAATAAGTGGGACCTCATTAAACTACAAAGATTCTGTACCACAAAAGAAACAACCAAGTACATGAAAAGGAAACCCACTGAGTGGGAGAAAATCTTCACAGACCATACATCTGACAGAAGATTAATATCCAGAATATACAAAAAACTCAAAAAACAAATAAACAAGAAAATAAAGGACCCAATAAAAAGATGGGCTATGGATCTGAACAGAGAGTTCTCAAACAAAGAAATAAAAATGGCTAAGAAACACCTTAAAAAATGTTCAACATCCTTAGTAATTAGAGAAATGCAGATAAAAACCACTTTAAGATTCCATTTTACCCCAGTCAGACTGGCTAAGGTCAAGAGAACAAAGACACAAAGTGATGGTGAGGATGTGGAGAAAGAGGAATGCTCGTTCACTGCTGGTGGGAATGCAAACTCATGCAACCACTATGGAAAGCAGTGTAGAGAATGCTTTAAAAAAAAAAAAAAAACTAAAAAAGAATCTACCGTATGATTGGGTTATACCACTCCTTGGCATATACCCAAAGGACTCATCCTACTGTAGAGATACCTGTACGTTCATGTTTGTTACTGCTCTCTTCACAATAGCTAAGAAATGGAAACAACCTAAATGTCTCTCAACTAACACATGGATAATGAAAATGTGGTGCATTTACACAACGGAGTTCTACTCAGCAGTAAGAAAAGATGAACTTATGAAATCTGCAGGGAAAGGGTGGAGCTGGAGACTGTTAGACTAAGTGAAGTAACACGAACATAGAAAACCAAGCGACATACGTTCTCCCTCATTTGTGCATCGCAGCACCAATCCCTTCTACGTGAGTTTATATTCCGACATAACACCAGGAGCCAGTAAAATGGAAAGGGAACATGGAAGTAAAAGAAAAGAAAGAACCTGAAAGGGGGGGAATGGTGGGAGGTGGGTGTTATTGCGGGAAGGGTGGGGATAATGGGGATGCTTGGACTACGGAGGGAAGAGGGAGGTCAGATGTGGGGGAAGAGAGAATGGATGAATGAATTTCCTGGGACTAGGGAAGGCAGAAGGAAATATGTTTCCTCACAAAACCCCAACCATGTTGGTTTGAGTGGTCCAAAAGATTCCTAAGATGGAACAGCCGGCTAGAGCTCTTGGTTACCTCCCAGAACTAGAAGATAAGACCCTGCTGCTGAGGACAGGACATGCTTCAGACATAGGACTTGGAACAATGGAGTGGCAACTAACCTGGAAGCCTTCTACCTGAAGTTTAGCTCTCATAGTTCTAGAAGATACTATTCCAGCTGCTGAAGGAGAAAAATCAATCAATGGTCCAATCCAGTGCTAAAGTCTAATAACCATAATGACCAGCACTACAAACTACCTCTGTTGGTTTGCTGATGGCACTGTTATCTGGGGGGTAACTAATAGCTATCTAATTGGACTTAAAGCCTTCTCAATGGGAGTGAACTTATATTTTTCTTCTTTAACTACGATTGAAAGACTATCCTAAAGTATGCTGGAGACATTTTCAAATTACATTTACCTAGAAGATCTAGGTATAGGAGACTTGTGAAAAACAAAGGGGCCTTAAGCAATGAGCACCATGTCCCTGAGACACTCTTCCATTTGCCTGACTGGCCAAGTCAAAGTATAAGTGTGAGCTGGCCAGAACTGCAATGTATGGATGAGTATTAGCTCCAGAAAGCCAGCTGCTTCAAGTGAACTGTCAACTGTGCAGATACGTGCTGTCAGGAAGAAACAAAGCATTTTCTCCGTGCATACCTAGATAGGTATTGCTTAAAATGCTGGTCAACCAATGGAATGTGACATACAAAAGTGTCACTGTTTATATAATTTTATCTTGAAAACCCTATCTCAGAGCAGCCTCCGTATTAACATAAGTATCTGGGAATCTTACTCACTGGTCTTGGGCAGAAAGACTGAATACAAAACCTGATTGTAAAGACTGGGAACAATGGGGCTTTCTACATGAGAGTTGGCTAATAGATAAAGGGGAAAGCACCTTCCTCAAAGCAGCTCTATGAAGGGGTCTTTGATTTCCTTATGGGTCCATAGCTCTCAAATTTTAGTATTAACCAGACGCAGAAAGAGAAACATTATGTAGTAACTGCATGTGAATTATTTTATTGGAATGTTGAAGGTACAGCAGTCATAACAACATCTTTCACTGACATGACTAGTGTCTTTGCATTCACTTTCTGGAAAAAAAAAAAAACAAGGTTAGGGAGAAGGAAGTTATGACAAGTTCAACACATTCTGAGATGATTTTTTATAGTAACTTTGGATTTCAATGCTAGATTTAGGGCATGTGACAAAGCATGTATTTAAACCCAAGTCAGTCTAGAACTTGAAAATATAGAGGGAATTCAAGTTTTGGATGTACTTATGATTGGTACCCCTAGAAAGATGATTTTCTTTCTGAGGTACCTCTGGGATGAGATGGGGGAGGAATATCCAATTACATTTTCGCTGCTGGGGAATCTGCTGGTTATGCAG